AACTCACGTGGAGGTGCTACGTGCATCCTCATTGTGCAGACAGGGGACCGGAGCAAGAGAGGAACCTTTCCCCAGGTCCCGAAGCTAATTAATGCAGGACCAAGCTTTGAAGACTGGCAGGAATGTTCTGTATGAACCGCTCTGCACCCCTGCCTCCTGCCTAGACTTGTCCCCATCAGGTCGCACAGAGCCCAGTGCCACAAGAGCTCTGTGCTCTTGACAGTGGAAGGTGTTCAGAAAGGGCCCCGAGGGCATCACTTCTGCTTTGACCCTGGATGTGGGCAGGGACTTTCCTGATGCCCTGCAGATGGTGTGGCTGTCTGGGATGCTACAAGTCACAGGGAAGAGAAGGCTGTAAAAAGGAGCCAAAAGCTCTGGGGTCGTGAGAACACAGGTTCAAGTCCGACCTCAGACCCCCCCTTCCCCCACCGCTATGTGGCCTTGGGCACTTTACTCAATCACTCTCTGCCTCGGTTTCCACATCTGTAAGTGGGCATCGTAATGGCACCAACATCCTAGAGCTGTTACAAAACAAGATGATACAGCCAGGCAAAGCACCGTGGCGAACTTGCCCGTTTCAGCCATTTATCATTATTAGTAAATCCCTAGAAGATGTGGAAAGCTCCCCTCCCGCCTTCCCCTGACACGCGGCCCCCTGCCCACCCAACATTTCCACCTTCTGCACGTGCAGGTCGGTCTGCCAAAAATGCCCTCTCCAACCCTCTGTGTGCTTGGTGATCGTCTCCCCAAATCAGCCTCCGCAAAGATGCCCTGATGCCCCCGCCCTGTCCTCAGTGTTCTAGTACCTTCTCACAAGAGTAACGCCTACTGACCACTTACTGCACCCAAAGTTCTATGCTAAGCTCTTTACACACATGATGGCATTTCATTCTTACAAAACCGTATAGAAATTGGTATTATTAACCCCATCTTACTGTTGGAAAATGGAGGCCTGGAGAGGAGCATGGGGGCCCAAGGCCCCACAATGGGCAAGTGGAAGGCCTGGGGCTAGAACCTGGGCCTGCACGTGTGGAGCAGAGCTTCAGCTCCTGGTCCCCCAGCTGGGACCTGTCGGTGGCCTCCCCCCCATAGCTCTGCCGGCCTTGCCTCCCTGTCTGTGGGCCCTGCCCTGGGAGCACATTTCCTGCCTCTCTGCATCACCGCCACCCCAGGCTCAGCCCAGAGGCCCCTGCACAGGGGTGGGTTATTGCTGAACCTGGGACTGTGAGCTGGGTGAGCTCTGAGGGTGGGCTGTGGCCCAGGCCAGGCTCAGTGTCCCCAGCAGCTGCCCACAAGCCTCCCGGCCTCCCTCGCACCCCTCTCCACAGCACAGGCTGGTCGACTCTAGATGTGGGCCAGCAACTCAGACTCAGTGGGCTCAGGGCCTAGCAGTGACTAGGCTAGTTTCTTACTGGAGAAAAAAAGGCACTTTTCATATTTAAATGGCATGGCGTGGCCAATGGGCTTTGGGAGGCACCACAACATGCTTAAGGGGTGTGCAGGCCTAAGGGGTGTGCAGGCCGAGTGAGGAGTGAGGCCCGGAGTGAGGCCTGGAGTTGCCTGATTGCCCGGATGGCGCACTTTTAGAGATGATCCAGCCCCATCTTGCCAAGGCCCAGAAAAGGATAGTGATTTATGAAGGCCACAGCAAGGAACCAGAACCCAGCCTCCTGACTCGCAATCTGGTGCTTTCCTCTCTCCCTCCCTCCCTCCCCAACCTTCTCCTCCATGCCCGGCTTCCCTTTAGCCATCAAAGGCAGAGCAGCGGCCTGGACCCAGACCTGTGGGGCCAGGTGGAGGGACCTATTTCACAAGGTTTGTAAAGAGCACCATGACTCCCAGGTGCCCCATCCGTCCTGGGCAAAGTCAAGAACTACACATTAATCCAGTCCCTCCTCTTGCTTTGTGCAAGAGTAGAGAAACTGAGGTCCAGAGACACGGCGGGGGGGGGACTTCCCAGGTCACACAGCAGACTCCCGGCAGAGCCAACAACCAGCACCTGCATTCCCTGACAACCCAACTAAGTCCTCCTGGCGGATCATGCGGAGGCTTTTGCAGCCGTTGCGGTCCTTTTTAAATTGCAAGTAGCCACCCGGCTCTCCACGGTTTTGCAATTAATAGCCCATAATTTCACTAGCGCCAACTCCCTAGGCTGCCACCTAGTGGCCAAGCTGAAAGCCACAGGCCATGGTTGAAAATAGGGCGCCCCCGGGGGCCGAAGAAACTCTAAAGACAAACAGGAGGACTTGGAATGTTTCAGGGCAACATCTAGAGAAAAAGGAGGCAAGCAACCGAATCTCTCTAGAAGGCACTTGTAAGAACCTGTGCCACCCTCCCCATGCCACCCGTTCGCTGGCGACTCGGGGCAGAGGGCAAAGCTGTCCCTCCTGTAAAGGAAGGGATGAACCACCCAACCCCGCTCTAACAGCCTGAGGCTCCTGTTAATTAAATTCCTCATCAGTGTGAATTCATCTTAAGGTCTCTTTCCCAGGGGAGCGCAGGGTGGTTTCTAAGTGGGGGGAGGGGATGGACGCATCGAGTATGGTTTGGATCCCGGAGGGTCTGTGCCCCCAACGCTCCCCCACGCCGGGGTCTGAGCCATTCTTTGCCAGCTGCGAGGCGCAGTCAGCTCTGAGCAGGAAACACATTCCCCATCGACGGGGCCCGGGCCTCCCAGTCTCGCCTGGTAGCAGGCAGGAGGCCCCACAGGAAGAGGCCGAACTCCTCTCTGGGTGCTCCAGGCCACGCAGCCTCCAAAACTGGGAGCAAGTCTCCGGGAGCAAGGGGCCCATCGCCGTCCTTCTCCAGAGAACCAGGCAGGCTGGTGCTGGGGACCTGGAAGTGACCTCCACAGCCAGGAGCCGCCTAATGAGCTCCTCACTCGGGGCAGTGAGAGAGGGAGGAAGAGGGCCCAGGGAGAGACACAGGCGCCACCCACCTCACGTGCACACACACACGTGGTCGCCTGTGGTCACAGAGACCCTCATACCCACGTGCACGCACACCCGGATGTACAGAAACTCCCCCTTGGAGACCCGCATCCTGTCCCCTCCTCTCGTAAACCTTCTCTTCTCAAATGTCCCGTCACATCGCTGTTCCGGAGCCGTCAGATCCCACCCTCGCCCAGTGTGTCCACTTCATACATATCTACCGAGCGACTCGAAAATACCAGGCGTCGCTGCGGGCGCCCTGTGAATGAAGTCCGCCTTGCGGCCAGCTTCCTCGGAGAAGGGGGTGGGACATGAGGGAGAGGAACACACACTGCAGAAGGTGTGCCCATTAGAAACTCGGGCTCCAAGTTCCCTGCCGTGTGACCTTGGACTGGTCACGGCCCTCTCTGGACCTCATTTTCCTCATCTGCTAAATGGGCTAAAGATGGTTTTGAACTAGGAGCCTCGCAGGATTGGTGGGGGTGGAAGGGGTTGAGAGAAGCTGGCGCCTAGGATGACCTCGCTGGGTGTCCCTCCCCTACCCCCAAGAGTCTCCCAGGGCAGGGGGAAGCGACCAATGTGGTACCACTGAACCGCTCCTCCCCCGTCGCCGATAGCTTTGGTTCTCATCACTCACCTCTACCCCCACCGCTGCCTCCCAGCCCCTCCCTCAGGACCTTTGTGGGAGCCCTCAGGGGCCCCTGGGATTTCCCAGCAGGTCAACATATGTGTGGGGAGATGACCCTGTATGTGCAACCTTGAGACGCCAAGAGCCCCCAGGCCCCTTTCGGACTTTGCCCAACCGGAGCCGGCCTGCCCGTCTCAGAACGAAGCCATAGTCTGGCCACCCTCCTGGCCACCTTGCTCCACAAATACCCTGGAGCATGGCCTCCCCTGCGCTACCAGGCCTGCCGACAATCAGGCCAGCCCCAGCCTGTCTGGGGAGAGGTTGGCTGGATAGGGCAGGTGACAAAGCCCCAAGGCCCCAAGGTTGAGAATTGGGGGAGTAAGGATGACTCTGACCGTGGAGGAGGAATTGGGGGAGTAAGGGTGACTCTGACTGTGCTAGGGGCCCTCCCCTCTTCTGCAGATGGGGAAACTGAGGCTCAGACAAGGAAGAGAAGCAAGCGTTCGGATAGAACCAAGGAAAGAGTTGGGCTCAGGACAGACAGAACTCCATGCAGAACCCTGTCCTGCCACTGAATTGCGGTGACACCATGCAAGCCGCTCTGAGCCTTACACGGCGAGTTGAGAGGCTCTGAGTTAGGCATCCGTATGTCAAATACCATACAGGAGGTAGGCAGGTCTCATAAAAGTCCCTGTCCTTCCCTGACGGCTGAAACCCCATGCAGGCCAGGTACTCCCCTCCCCCTCTCCTTCCCCATCCCCCATCCTATTCCTAACTCAGGGTAGCGGAAAGAACGCAGTTCAGGGAGTCAGGAGGCCTCTTGAGCAAGTTACCTCGTGTCTCCACGTCTTGGTCTCTTTATCTCTGTTTTCCTGTGAATGGCCCGCCTCCCTCACAGAGAGATTATAAGGCTCAAGAGAAATCATGGAGATGAAAAGCTTTGAAAACTATGAATCTGGGCAGATGTCGGGGCTTGTTGTTATAACCTTCCGGCACTAGGCAGGCGGACAGATGGACGGAGGGCTGGGTCCTCGCGTGGGTCGGCAGACACGCGGTGGGGGGTGATGGAGCTTGAGTTCTAAATCAGCACGAGCTGGGATCCCCTCCTCACTGAAATGCTGCCCGATACTCTCAAACTAAGCAGCTTCTTTTCACACGTGTCCACCTTGATAGCCACCCCCCCCCACGAGGAACCTTGTCCCTAAAAAGCCAGACTCCCCAGAATGCTGCCATCTGAGTTCTTTTGGGCCTCAGAGGTGTCAGGACCGCTCTCCAGCATCTTCAGGCCCAAATATTGGCCCATGAGCCTGGTGGGAGGAGGACCCACATCTGTCCGGTCGCTGAAGGACCCCTGTACCCAGCACAGGCACCGGAAGGTGCGGGTGAGTCTTTTCTTAGTGCAGGAGTGGCTGATGGGGAGCGGGGAGAGGAGACCAACTCACTGGGCACACGGTTGATGGCTTTGAGGGGCCTCAGGACACGCACGGTGCGGATGGCCGACAGGTTGATGTTCTGGAGGTCCAGAGAGTACTCGACCATCCTGCAGAGAAAGGGGAGAGAGTGAGGGATGGAGCAGGAGGGACACTCAGGGCCATGGACTATTCCACGGCCATCTAGCCACCCATGCACACCCACCCGTGCCCGCAGCTGCCTGGAAGGGAGACATAAGGAAAGGGCTCAGAATCCTGGCTATGCCCCAGTCGGCTGTGTGGCCTGGACTGTCTCCTCCTAAGTGGAACCGGCTGTCTCTGCCTCTGACTGTCCTGGGGGTGCCATAGATGCGGTGGAGGGCGGAGTGAATGGAAGAGCAGAGAACTTGGGTCCCCACTGAGGGCCCAGCCCTGTGCCAGGTGCCTCTTGCCCCTGCTTTCCCAGCAGCCTCTAATCTGAAACAAGGAAGGTCAGCAGAGGAGAGCCAAGGAGCTGGGAGACCCCCGGCTGACCCCAGGTGGTGACCGGAAACCCTCACTGTGGGCAGAGGCCTAGAGCTTATATCTTGCTTTATATCTCCCCTGGCCCCCAGGCCCCCAGCAAGCCTGGGTCAGATGCCCAGATTTACAGATGAGGAGAGGAGCTGGAGAGAGGTGACGTCACATGTCCCACATCACCCAGCATCTGGGCAGAGGCTCAAGCCAGGTTCAGGCCACACCTGCCCCCCTCCCTCTCTGTTCTCCTGGCCTCTGAGCCCAACTGCGGGCTCACACCAGGCCAGGTGTCACAGGCCACATCTCCTGGGATGTGACAGGCACGCTGTACTTCGTTTGCAGGGAAAGTTCACTCTCTCCTGGGCATGCTCCCCGCGAGGCACCCAGGCTCCAGCTTCAAGGCTCACTGCGTGCCCCACTCCAGGCCTTGGCACCCATTGTCCCTTCTGCCTGGAATGCTACCTCTCACCTCTCTGTCCACCGAAACCTTACTCACGCTTCAAGGTTCCGGGCAGATGCCCCTGGAGTCCTGGAAGTTTTTCCACACCCGAGTCCACGATGAACCAAGCCAGTCTAGGCACTACAGACACAAGTGACTCAGACCTGGCCCCAACCCTCAGGAGTACCCACTCGCACCAGGGAGAGACTCAAAGGCAGCAAGGATGACACTAGGGCCCTGGCCACTGCCTGAGTTCTCTCCTTCAGGACCTCATCAGACAGCCCCGCCCTCCCTCTCTACACTCGACCAGCCCTGAAGCTCCTTAGAGACAGTCGGCCTCCTCCAGGAAGTCTTCCCAGATCTCCACAGAAGGCAGATCTCTGAGGTCCCCTCTGTGGTCTCCTGGCTTCCACCAGATCCTACCCGCTCAGTTGCTACCTGCCCCCACTTTTCTCCACTGAAAGACAGGCTCCTGGGGCCTACGGCCTCGGCCTGACCCCGGGTGTCCGGCTCACCAGACCCTTCCTCCCCGTCCCCCCTCCCCCCCATCATCCACCCCGGGGCTCCAGCACTGCGGCTGGCTCCACCTGTCACTGCCGTCAGCAGGAAATGAAGGCTTTTCCTACACACCGTGCAAACCTGTCCAATTGTTGTGGAGCCGCCGCCCCCTCCCGCTGCTTGAAGAATAATTGAGTGAAAGCTTCTTTGCCTGAAATGCCTCCGTCCATCCCCCAGCTTTCTGGGGCACAGGCTCTGGCTCCCATGCTGGCTCTCTCTCACGCAGAGCCACACACACCTGCACACAACCGTCGGCGCGCGCGCACACACACACACACACACACACACACACACACACTCACACACTCACTCCTCGGACACCCTGATCCACACACACTCCCGCCAGAGCCCAGTTTTGGAGAGGGGGCGTGACAAAAAAGTGACAGAGAACTAGAACTGGAGACGACCTGGGGTCCCCAAGGAAGGGAGGAGGAGGTGGAGGAGGGGAGGAGGGGGAGGGGAAGAGGCAGAAGTGGGAGGAGGAGGGGGGAGGAGGAGGGGGAGGGGAAGGGGCAGAAGTGGGAGGAGGAGGGGGAGGAGGAGGAGGGGGGGAAGGGGCAGAAGTGGGAGGAGGAGGGGGAGGAGGGGAAGGAGGGGGCGGGGGCGGAAAGAGGGGTGCCAGGAGCGACAGCCTGGCAGAGAGGGAGCTGCAGGTTGAGGGTGGCCCAGGGGCAGCGGATGAGGAGAGAGGGTGATGTGAGAAGGAGGCCGAGGGAGCGGAGCTACAAGAGGATTCCGTGCGTGGGTGAGCCAACTGTCATTTTCATATTTTGTAGAAAGAGCTCTCCAGGCAGCCAGGGAGACGTGTGTGACGGAGGCACCGTGGGGGCGGCACACACAGCACACAAACAGGCGCTCACACTGGCACGGGCGCACACGCACCCTCACACCCCAGGCCTAGGAGCCCCCCCCCCCGCCACCGCCCAGCTCCAGCCAGCCCCCCACCCCGCCCCGTGCCCCACCACCACCAGCCCTCTTCCTTCCGCCCTGGCTCCCTCCATCCTGCCAAGGGGCGGGCAGCACCAGGCCCTGGGGAGAGCGAGACCCCCAGAGCTCAGTTTATGCTTTGCTGGGGTGTGCTGGGGTGGGGGATCCCAGCCTCTGCCAGATTGAGCCCCCTCGGGATCCTTTGTTTTGGGAGCCCCAGGGCACACCTGCTGAGCTCTGGCAGGTGACAGCCCAGGATTTGTCCCCATCCCCATGAAGTCTCGCAATAAAAATAAATACATGCCTCATAGAGGGGTGGCTAGACAAAGAAAACACATGGTTTTTGAGGGCCTACCTCTTGCCAGGTAGTTCTCGCTCCTCACCTGCGTTAACCCGTTCGAGCCCCCCTTTACTTGGATCCCACCGCACCCTGCCTCACCCCCCACCCCCGGACCAGGATTCCACACCTTGCCCCGCTGCCCTGGTTCCGTGTTCCCCCAGGCAGAACCTATGCTCCACAGACTGGAACTACTGACTCTTAATTAAGTGAGGCAGGCCCACCGTGGCCTGCCCCCCACCCCCCACCCCCGACAGGGGACAGGGGACAGGCGACAGGCCAGGGGGAGGATGGGAAATATCTACAGATACAGATGAACAAACCCCACGGTGAGAAATCAGGTTCGCCTCCCCTTTACGTTTCTCTAAAACAAGGAGGGGACTGGCCCCTGGGTTGCGAGCGAGGCGCAGGATGTAACTGAGTGTTTCCAAGGCCCACGATTACCCAGAGTCAGAAGCTTTAGGGTCTGAGCACCTCTCTGATGCCAACCCGCTCGTGGGAAGCTGATGAGACTCACGCCCATCTCTGAGGTGGACTGAAGCAGCCACTGCCTGGCAGGCCCAGCCCCTCCCCTTCGCCCCTGACCCGACCTGACCCTCCAGGCCTTCAGTGTGGGAACACATCACACCTTCTGCAGCCTACTGCAAAAACTCCCCGGAGATCTCAACTTGCAGCCCTCAGGGTCTCCACTGAAAAGCTCCCATGAGAAATTTCTTAGAGAATTTAGTGTTAGGATCGTAGCTCTGAGCTTCCTGGCAGTCAAGTCGAAAGGGGAAAGGTGATGAGTTACTGAGTCCTTGGCAGCAGGAGAGATCTTGGTACGGTGGATCCTTCCGGGAAACCCAATTGCCTAAACATTTCTCTGAGATTCTAACTCTCTCTTCTATATATCTACCTGGGGGGTGTAATATTGCACCTGCATCCCCCGTCTGGGAAACAAGACAGGGTATAAATGCATTCAGTGATAAAGAACACATAGTAGGTGCACAGTGAAGAATCTAATAGTCCTCACTCTTCTTTGAGAGAAAGAGGATAGAAAGGGGGACACCGGACAAGGATGGGGAGAGATGCGCAGAGTTGCAAGGGTAGAACTGTGGGTTTAATCCTATGCCCTGGGAACTGTGCTGTCCTGACAGTAACGCTGTGCCCCAACTTGGGACAGTCTGCTCACAGCTCCCTGACCCCTGCCCTAGTCCCATCACCATCCCTTTCTCCTGACAGCGTGAGCAGCCTCCTGACTGTTCTCCTGTCTCCTGCTTCTTCCTCCCACACTCCTTCTTCAGTCAGCCAAAACTTCCTAAAACTCAAATCTAGCTGTGTCCCTCCCCAACTTAAACCCTCCATGGCTCCCCACTGCCATCAGAACAAAGTCTAAGCCGCTGACCATGGCCTACAAGGCCCTCCGGTCTGGCCTTCCCCTCCCCCAACCCCTGCTCCTCCTCTGCACATCTGCGGCCTATCAAGCTCCCCAAATACACGCCATTCTTGCCCCCCCTTTCCTTTGCTCGGTGCCCCTTCCCCTTGCTCTCAGCCTCCCTTCAAGACCGTCTCCTCCACGGAGCCTCTGCTCAGCCCTTCCCTGCACCAAAGGCTGAATTCACCCCATCTGCTCTGGCTTACTCCACAGTCTGTTCACATCTCCTGTCTAACATGGGTTCCCCGGAAGCAGATCCTGAGCCAAGAACTCAGGAGGTGATCCCGGGGAGTATGTCGAGGGAGTGGAAACTGAGAAAAGCCAATGAGGGGCTGTTGGTGAGCCGGCTACTGCTGTGGAGAATGGGGGCACAATCGGGACCCCCTGAGAGACTGTGGAGCGGGCCTCAGAACGGGACCAGAGACAGCAGGGAGGCGGGGGAGGGACACTGCAGCATTCCCACAGACAGGTTGAATGCTGGCCACGCACCCCCCCTCAGACGCACCCCCGCACCAGCCCCACACAGCACCCAGTAGGCACTCAGGGATCTACTTAGCATGAGCACCACCTGTGACAGAAGAAGCTACCGCCTCCCACCCTGGATGACAGCTGTGGGGGACCCCCCCCCTCCAAAAAAGAAGGTGAAGAGGGGTCGCTCTATGGGTGAATAACCATTGGGCTGACTTCCTTCGGGCCCCAAGTAAGACATCACTTACGAGAGTGAGAAATTAATTTCTAATTACACAGTTACTTTATCACGCAGCTTCGGTGCTAAAAGTCTAAAAAAAAAAAAAAAAAATCAACAAAAACCCCCACTACCTCCTGCCAGCTCCCAAGCGCCTAATTAGGTAAGTAATTTAGCTTTAAAGCGAACACTTTTGTCCTGACATCACCCCAGGAGGGGAGTAGCTGAACCCAGTTCCAGGGCTGTCCTTGAGGA